ATACTGCTGGCTCCATTAGCCGTGATAATTTAGTAGAAACTCGATATGAAGTCCATAGTTGGCTAGCTACAACAGCTGTGGCAACTGCTTAAACAGGCGCCAGCAATTCAAGGCTGTTTCGACTCCGTTCGCAGCAGTGGAAGAGATTCTAGTCGCGGTGCAACTCGTTCGCTTTCGCCGACAAAAGCAGGACAAAGTCGAAGACCGGGATCGCCACCGAAATAAGCTGGGCAGAGGGGAGCTAGAGGGGTTGTTTTCGACAGGACAGTTGGTCCGTATATTTGCGTAGATAGGTTTAATGCTTCTAGCGGACGCTAGTGTGATTAGGATTCATACGCGGAGGTGTCAAGTGCTGGACTGACACATCGGCACCAACTGTTACTTTTGTTTTGGACGCCATTAATGATAGAGTTGCATTGAGGACTCCCATGGATGCGAAAAATACATCAAACTAACAAAAATAAGTATAAATCTCAAAAGGACAGCTAGCTAAAAGAAATTAGTAGACAGAACTGTAGCATATGTTTGAGATCCACAATGATGGCTAACGATTTATATATATAAAATCATATTATAAGTTAGGTGGGCGTCGATATATGGTTCAGGTAATTTTAGCCTCAGCGCAGCGCTAAATGGTCAATTGCAACTCTGGCGGAGTGATTTTTGCTTCGTATATTTATAAAAGCGACCTCGAATATTAAATTGAAAGCCCTTCAGGGTAAATTACTCACATCCAGACAATTTCATGAAGTAGGCAGACGATTTCATAGGCTAACGCCAAGATGGACGATTTCGCATGTGTAGATCCATCACAGGATCGTGTAACTCACAAGTATAAGAGAAACAATACTTAGAAGAGAGCAAACGTTTCAGTCGACTGAACCCTCACCGAAGGCGTGCGTAAAGAAAATTTGAAGAAACTTAGGTCTTACGAAAGCTGCGAAATCTCTACGAAGGAGCTCGAAATCTAGCTTGCAGCATCGTCGAACAAACTATGGAAAACCAAACACGAAAGTTCAACATCCGGCTTAACTTACCAGACACCGCATGATTGAAGCTCTATGAAATTGTTTCTCGGATTGAAAAAGTAGATTAAAGGGAAAAAAAACTATAAGTCCACCAGCACATTACAAGTTAACCCCATCATAACGCACGGCAGTTGAAGACAACATGGGATGACCTAATTTAAAAAGCCAACGTAACCAAACAATTGTTGTTTATAACAGACTGTCACAATGAATTATCAGTATGGAAACTACAACCTGCCACTAACAAAAGAACATTTCGGTTTAATGGAGATCTACATTAGCACATGACGCCCTAATGGTCGTTAAGAAAGTAAACCCGGAAGCTCTAGTCTTAGCTATAATAAACAGCACAGTGTATAAGAAGAGCTGACGTTAGTTACAGTTCCGCTCGGTGAGGCGCTTTCCAGCGTGAGATAACAGTGATGACACTCTAATATGAATTTCGATGACAAGAAATCGTTTGGACTTCTCTAGCAATTGACATCGAACCCCTTTGAAAGGAACCCCATAACAACTGAATCTATTTTTTTTTTCAATAAATCCAAAATTTAATTGGCTAGCTGCTTAATAGACGATATGAACCGCACCGAAAACGATTCTAAAATAACCAACAGCTGAGTCGAGCCTAGAAGCTCGATCTGTCCCCTTATACCACCTACCACGAAACAAAATCGCAGCTATGGTGAAATATGGAGAAATTCAAGATGATATTTTGTGTTTACATTCAGAGCTCAGGGTAATCCAGCCGTGAGCAAATGTATTAATCCCAAACCTCGTTCAACTAATAGAAATGATCTATACTTTAGAAGGTAGAACTATCTTCCAGCAGCAATATTGTCTAAAGTTATGGAAGACATTAGACACAACGTCACTTATAGCGGTTAGCTTTCTATCGTAGCGCCCCAAAGGCGTACTGCACAGATCTTACGCACACGCTATTAGTAATAATGGTTGCTATTAGATTCTACCTAGAAAGAGTCTGTGTCTGTCTGCTAGTCTACTAACTTAGGAGGTTTTTCTGACAGAATATTTTGATAATCCCCAGCTAACTTTAAGTACGGTAGCTCTATTTTTTGACTATTTGCTTGCCCATTGTTAAGAGAGTGACTTCTATATTACGAAACAGTCTTTTTTTTTCTGTAATCTCTACAGGATAGATACAGGATTAGGTTTTAACTTGATCATATTTCAATTTTTCATATCGAGTGGTATCCAGATGTCGTTCCCGGAAGCAGTAGCGAATTGGTTATGTATTTCGATTCAAAGGCTTATGGGTTATTACGTAAGAGAGCAAGCCGATTACACCAGGGTAACGAGGCTGTACGGACACTTTAAGGCGTTACTAAGTAGCAGAGCAGTCTCAACCCACTGGGTCCACACATTGGCTAGAGTTGAAGTTTGGCAAATGCTCAGCAACAGACTGGCGCCACACACAAGTCTGAGGGCCTAGCTTAATATATACAGGTGGAGCAAGAACAGCTGTATCAAAATAGATTTAATGAAACAACGGGGATTGGCAAAACGGGAATATAGAATAATTGCAACCGGTAAAGGTTTCGTTAAATTAACGAGCGGCAAAAAACAGCTTAGCCTAGTTACTAATAGACCTGTTTAGGTTTACACAACTGCACAAAAAATTAGAGAAGTGATTGTAATCGATAGTATTGGGAAAGAAACTATTGGTTCTTGTCATCTTAGACCATAGTTCAGATCAATATTTTGAATATTTTACCAGCGGAAGTGTTTCTCCCATCGACTTATGGACACTTATAGAGTCACAATATAATTGAAAAGCATACGCAGTATTTATTGTGAACGACGTTCGCTACTTGTGCCGAAACTGTCCTCAAACTATAGACTATTTCGTCAACTGGAGACGAGTTCTGCGGCTTGAAAGCATATGTTTTCTATATAGGTTTATGGCTGGCACCCATCTGGAGGTATGTCAGGCGGAATTATGAAAAAATATTAGGTATAACTGGCCCCACCTTATCAGAAAGGTCCCACAGATCGGTCCCATGCCGAGTTACGCGTGTGCTCAACAGTTGTTTTTGTGCTTACAATATCGACGTTCCCTTTTACCCCTGTACCCTCAACACAATAAAGCTGGAACCTGACTTAACCTATATCGCGATAGAGTATCACATTGGGGAACAATAATGCGTACCCGATTGCTTAACTACCTAATCCTATCAATTAGCCGTAAGTGAAGTTTTTCTTTTTTTTTTTTCTTAAGAATAATATATTGTTTTATCTGGGCTCGGCGAATCACTGTACAAAACTGAACTTTTTAAATGCGCTTCAATGACCTACTAGGGATTTCACTGCGAATAAAAAATACTTGCAGTAGTGAACATAAGAGTCATGGTCATGAGTGGCCCTGTTCAACATTGCGCAGAACTGAGTCATCTTAAGTGTGCGTTAATAGACCCTGATCAGAGATTTTTCTTTTACAGACCTTCCATCTAACATTTCGTAGTCGAAAATCTGAATCTTTAAGTGGCTTTTCAAACTCGTGTTTGCGCTCAAACAGAGCTGACACACAGCTGCTCTGAGAAATATATATCACCTGGTGTAAATAATAAAAGAGAAAATAATAGATTAAGATCGTGCATTTCTTCACAGGCTATAATTGCGAGAAAAATAGAACCGGCAAAAACATTTATTTAAGATTATGAAATTCAAGAGCAGTGGCAAATTTTGTCTGGCAACAGCTGTAAAAGCTAGTGACCATGGTAAAGGCAAACGCCTAAAGTGCTAAAACGTTCGGAATGACGCCAATATCTAGGTTTTCAAAATCGGCTTAATTGTTATTATTACCGTGTTTATTCGTATGTGTGTGAACTACCTTTTATCTATAGTGAGTATTTGAGGTATTGTATGATTAGATATGATCATAACGTTTACCAGAGAGGTCCTCGTTAAGTAATCGACCTACCTGGACATCTTCAATGCGTTTGTAATATGCGATAGCTTTCATACGTGCATTGTGCTGTCTCTGCAAACGATACATATAACGGCGGAAGTATCAAAGATGGACGAACTCCATACTCGCCAACATGCCGAACTGTTTACAGTTATATATAGAAAAACAACATATCGAAGAATATGGACAATTCGAAATGATCCGTGTCGCTTAGTTTATAAACCTTATCACGGTTGTATTCCATACAAGAGTCCGCTTCGATTCTTTAGAGTACAACAACGCTTGAACAAGTTGAAGACGTCATGGCAGACAGTGTACCGATGATAGCCGCGTAAGGGCAGTGGGGTTGCCAGTTGACTTCATCTCCGACGCTTTTCTGTTACTGCTGGTGTTAGCATTTTAAGCTCTCACAATTAGAAGCAGCAGCGGCATTGTTACCACATGACGCGTGTCTCTGGCTAGCCTAATTCTCTACCCGCGATAGATTAATATATGTTACGCTGTCACCTGTGCTACGACGCGCACACAAAAAACGACGCCCACCCAACGACGTACACACAGACGAATAAGTTAACCCATTTACCAAAAGGAAGACAGACCTCAATCAGATTTGCTCCGTCACTATCTACCTGTACATTTAGCAATTCGTTTGTTGTCGGCCAGGGTTTAACATGGGAGCTGGCTTCTCCTATAGTACTGCCGCCACCTGAGCCACAATATTTTCTATATATATTTCAGTCATACCGACTCATTTGTTAGTAGTATTTATAGAATACAGTGGTGTTATGCCCACCTACAAACGCATACATGTATGATTGTTTTCTCCCGCAGTGACCCAACTGAGTATGAGCAAAAGTAGCTTAGTTGTGTCATACTTCTCAGAGATGGGTGTGCAGATCCCTATATTATTGTGACTTGAGCAGACGTAAGAATAACAATGGACAAATCAATAATTAACAATGATATTAGAGTAATAATATCTACTGAATAGTGCTTCTTATAATGATCTTTTCTTGTTAACCCGTTGTTTCGCTTCCATGTTCCAGGTGCCTAAATATGTGCTGGTCCCGATCCACAAGGTCATTCATGTTCCTCAGCCTGTTGCAGTTCCCGTGAAGGTCCCTGTCTTCAAAGAGATTGTTGTTAAAAAGCCTGTCGAGGTTTCAGTCCCCGTCTATATTAAGAAGCACAAATATCAAAGTCATGGATATAGTGGCTATGGTGACAATCACCAATGGTAAAACCGGACTGTAACCCGGGTAGCTAAGTATTGGTAACACACGAATACACAGACCTCGCTGGTACATTATCGCTCAACTATTGAATAAACAACAGCGATAACACGGCTAAACGGGCGACCTCCTTTGATATTTTGTAATTAATAAAGATGAAAGCGGATTGTTAATTCTACATGATTGAATGACGGGGAGGTTTTATAAATATACATGCTGAAATTGATGTTTAGCAAGCAGCGTTAAACATCTGTTTGTGTTACAGAGGCCCAGAATAGGGACACGCATAAACACACACGATAATAACAATAAGCTTCTAGAGTGCTATGTACACTTGATTATCAGCAAATGAAAAACAATAGAACTTCTGTAATAGCCTTACAATCATAGGAAGTGCACATCGTCGTTGTTGTACCGACATTTTGCTATATATATATAATGTGCCTTGGAAAATTTGACGTTCTGTTCCTGACCAGTGATCTATTTCCTTCAACGGTACAAAAAACAACTTATTACTGACGGATTCTATTATGGTTGATTATAATACTAAATTATCTTATCACCTGCATCATTAAATTAAGCGTAATTCCAGTGCACAAAACAAGTGATGCTATTTAGGCCGTTTCTAAGGCTCTCTGTTATTCGGGATCAAGTTAAAGTGAGGCTGCGTAAACACGCACGAGAGGGCATAACAAACTATCGTTACAAGCATCATAAGTGATTTTTGCTACGGGTTATTCTAATGTCCTGAAAAAAGTCTCTAATGCGTGAAAGTACACGAGTGTCTAGCAGCGGAGGACATCCATCCAATCTAACCCGTCACAAAAGCCTTGCCGTACGATACGTAATCGTGTTGGAGTGGAACCGCTGGCGCAAGATGTGTTTCGACTCTAACCGTTAAGTTGTATCTACGACACGGTGGTAAGTTATCAGTGGCCGCTATAGGCCCTGTCTAATTGACGGCCGGATTTAGTTGTTGTTAGTGTGAAATGAAGGACAGCTTTCTGCTAATTGTTCTTTCTATCTTTGTCGATACCATTGTTACGATGAGGATGGTTGAATGCATGGTGTCTGATAGTTGCCTGTTTCCTGCACACAAGCCATGTATTGTTATTAATAATAATAATATTATTTGTATTTACTTGACAAGTATATAGTACAATATAGCATTTTGATTTGCTGACAATTGTTTCCTCAACTGGACCACAACTAGCTGATCGTGAATCTTAATAATTATTAGTCAGGAATTAAAGAATGGAAAAGGAGTTGATGACGAAAATGCAAAACATTACAGGAAGCATCGAAAAGGAAGCGTGCCTTATGCTTTTGGTCGCGGTTTGTTGTAAACGTTTGACAAAAATCAAATCTCTATTGTTTTTTTGTATGGTTAATGAGGACAGTAACTGCAATCTAGTGTGTGTATATATACTGTACATTTAGGCGCCAAGTTGCGCAATTTATAGGGAGCCATGAGAGCGTCCTTGGAGCAAGCGACACCGCTATTGAAATCGCGTTAAAACTATAGTTCTGTTAATAGTAATTAAAACTTTATTGATTATTTTATTGACTATGAGAACAACATAAACATATTAAAAATAAACATAAATAATTTGTGTTATTAATTTGGCAATTATTGCAATTTACTTCGAAGTTTCGTGCATGTCATGTCACTGAGTCCGCAAAAACCGGTAATGTCTCGCGGTAAACTGATGAAGACTTATGGCGCTACCACTTGTGGTGGAAGGTTTTTGCATTATAGTTACATAAAGTGATGATCTATTAGTTTGAAGTTCTGTAACTTGGGCATCAAAAAATGTTCAGTCCCTGAAACTGTTCATTCAGCGATAAAAAAGGAACAACATTTGTGGCATCTTTGGGTCAAAGAATTAGCCTTCACTGCAACTCCAACGCTTCAGATGCAGTTACGGTGGGTGCTTTTTCATGAAGGACGAATGCCGAAAAAAAACTTCATTATTGCATAATTTCGCTTGCATCTTGCCCTTCTTTCCTAACTACCTCATGCCATTCCTCAGACAGAGTCCGTAGATCGTGTAAGTTTCCCTGATACCCTATTGCTTCCATCTTGAGAATTACCAACACAACGCATTAAGCTCCTCCAAAGCTTCTTCTAGATAAAACCAGTGCGTAGATGCGATGGATCGTCTATTTACTTCATGTCGCAAATACCAGCATCTCAATATATAGTAATATCACAGTCAAAATCGATATTTACGATAAAAATGAGTTATCCCTACCCGCTTTGCCAATTGATTTTCGCCAGTAGGAGGCACAGACCCCAAGGAGCATTCTGACAATATGCATATCTTATATCAAAGCTACCATAGTTTAATATGATTTTTCGATAGCCGTCTTCGCACTAAAAATGGAAAATCTCAAAAAAGAGAAAAAGCACGACAAATTCCATTATTCTCGGTACGCCGCACATATTTAACAAAATAGAGAAAAAAAAAGCCAATAGAAAAGCGACCGGCCCTATGACGACAAAAACTAGTGGCAACATTGTTTGCAAAGGTCTCATAATTAACGAACGCCACGCATGACCAGCTACAAAACTTATTACCCACATTTGCCATCATTTAGTCTTATGGAGGGCAGAGAATTCCATGATTCTACCACAAAATGGAACAACGTACGCACTCTATTGTAAAGATAGACTGGTTTATACGCGTTGGCATTTTTTGCCTGAAAACGGAACCGTCTGGCGAACGTCCTAACGATGGCACCGGATGTGAGGCTGAACGCCCTTCAATGCCCGACTGTACAGCATAGTAGAAAAAAAAACATTGCGGTTTCACATGGATCGTTCTGAAATAGCATTTCATAGCACGAAAAGTTACTCCAATAGATTAATATTTTTTTCCTTCCAGTTGAAAAGGGGGGGGGGGGGGTCTTCTTTGAGTTTATTCGCCAGGGTCTTGTTATAGTTTCGTTGCATCGGCAATTTTCAATAGTTTGTTGAAGCACAGTACAGTACTGTCGTGTGCCGATAAGAGCACACAACTGAACTGGTCGCTGGAACAGGTTTTTTAAGGTAGGCCGCGTGTCTAGTGTTTGAGTCGCTTTACTGGGATCCAGTTGGGCGGTTAAATGGACCTTCTATGGATGCCTTCAAAAAAACTTCTGATTCATCCGCGTAACCAATCTATTATCATTTGGCTCTGTAAAGTTAAGGACTAACGTACACTGCTTCGTTTAGAATTGGCTAAACACTTATTATATTACAAATTAATTACAAGCACAAATATTAGAGCCACTATGGAGACTATCAAATATTAAGTCAGGTCTTTATTCTTCAATACGCTCTAAGCCTTTCAAAATTTTTAATTAGATAATAGAGGCTTTAGTTGTAACTTAATATATATTAAGAAAATGTTAAATGATTACAGGTTTGTCTATCGCTTTTACTCAGTGTATGTATTTTACACCGATAAGCAGCTAACAGAAACACGTGATTAGGCATCTTTAGGCTTATAATCGTACGCTACCCATTCTTTCTTCCTAACGGACTAACTGCTAAACGCATTTCTCTGTCTCAATTTCTCTCAACTCAATATAAAAATCTTTGTGAGTATTCGGCGTGCCCGTGCTCCAGTGAATTCAAAGTGAAGAATCTAATGTAAGTCGCGCCGTTAGTACTGTGCTTTACCCTGACTACACCTCACCGATCGAATCCACACTCTTTTCCCCGAAAGTCCCTGTAACGGAACACGTTTTGTGCACTTAGAGACTGCGGCTTTTAGCGTTAGGGGGGCGATTTCAACACAAGAGCCAATAGTGTGCGGGCAGACTCTCGAAAAGTACTACAGTTTCAGAGTTAGAGATTCGGAGAAAGGGATGCGCCCCCCGGCAGCCCCATGGATGCACGCTGACACGCATAAATAAATATAATTCTACCAACAAAAAGGGATTTTCAAGGAAACAAGAAGAAAGGTATGTGTTTTGTTGATTAAGATGAAAAACCATTTATCAGTACAATTTAGTTACCAGCGAGTACAATGCGAGCTGTTGGCTTGTCGGACGGCAGACTATCCAGAATAAAAATGACAATGTATAGATAGCTTCCGCGGTTAGGAGAGAGCCAGCCGTTGTTTTTACATGAAGCGGATCGGAGCTGTTCGGTTCTACAATACGGGACCGTGTGGTCACGGGTGTCGGACCAAGGGAAATGCGGTTTCAGCAAACATGCCTAAGCAAACTACGCAATGGAAAAGGGTCATGAATACGCTCGCTAGTCCAGACTGCCAATTGATATCTGGCCCGAATGAGGTAGTTAGCTTTTCTTGTATTTTCTCGCATTTCTATATGTGACTACCTGTCGTAAATGTTCAGTCGTAACTGTCAGCCGCTTGTAAGTCAATGCGGCAGTTTAAGTATACGTAGACTGACAGTGATGATGGATATGAAAATTTTGATTTTATGAGAAGACAGCATTGAATTCAGGAACGGGACACGGAATCGCGTTTAAGTTTGCCGCTGTGAACGCCGCTGCGTAATACATGTGGGGGCTTGTTACTAACCATTACTTATTTTAACATCTAAAAAAAGAGTTTTTCGTTCGTTCTAAAGGAACACTACATACGATCTAGTTTAGCCATGACGGCTGCCGAAAACGAAAACGACAGAACAGAAACGGAAGTACCATAACAACATGCAAAAAGAGGTCTGAAAATATGTAGTTTAAGAAAAACACACGGAAACTGTTTGAGGTTCATATTAATAGCATTCATCATCAGCACCATCGCTTTATTGATAAACAAAAACTGCGTAGTTGAAGGCATGTTAAAACTCATGTATTTTGAGGTAGGGAATTTACGATTCGAGATGTCCGTATTCATTCTGTACCACCCAAAACAACGCCTTTATCAGAGTTATCCATTTGAAATAAGCGTAAATTTACTTGGACTGCCCGTTATCTATTTCTAATAGCTGACTATTAGGGTCACTTTTTTCTAATCTAATTTTTACACTTAGAACAATCTGCTGTCCTCGATTAAAACCACATCATTAGTGATGTTGTTTCGTCTGGTTGTGCATGTGTAGCTATAGTGTATCTGAAGGTTCGACAATAAAAAAGAACACTCAAACTGCCAGTTTTATCAATAAAGTTGATAACTGTTTCTGTGAGGGTGCTTATTCGCGTTTTCGTTTCTGAGCCCCCTCTAACCCCGCTTTTACATAAATGAGGGCTCTTATGTGGACTGGCTAACCTTACAGACGAACAACAAACGTCCAACACGTGAATAAAGAACGCCAGACTCTCGGAAGCGAACAAATTCTCGAGATGTATCCGAAGACGAGAGGCTATCGATACATCATTGCCGGCTTCGTCTTCATCTGTTCCTTCGTGATTTATCGTGATATTTTGTGTGAGCTTCAGTAATAGGTAATTTTAAGGGGCTGAAAGTTTAATTAGCAATAGTCGAAAGGTACAAACTTAGAAAGCGAGTGCCAGATGCGCCATTGGCAGCCACAACATCCGCTCGAGTAGTGGCGGCAGCGCCATCGATAGCTGCGCAGATGCTCAAGTAACTGCCTTTCTTTTTAAAGGGAGCAGCTAAGAAAAGGAAATGATCTACCACAATGACGCGTTGACTAGATAAACGACAGTAAGCCAAAACAACTACTGAAAAAATGGTTAAGAATTAAGAGACTTAGCTTGGGTACATGGCTACCATTAAGCATCGACAGTTGATCGCCAACGATGAAAGCTGCAACATTTAGGCAGCGGTCAAAACCAACGGTCGAAAGCTCAGCAGCTACGGCTGGAAAAAACCTATTTGGAGGTGGAGCTATTAGTCTAATTGTAAGCAGGGTGCCCGGTGGACAACTAACAGAGAGTAAAGAACAAAAGTGATGCAGAAATCTTTTGTATGTCATACGGGTGTTTCTTTCTCGGGAAGAAACATTGCAAACTATAAGAGATACGCGCGAAATTTAAACACTTTCTATAACTGTGATATCGGTGCCGAGCTTACAGCAAGGGCGACAGTTCTCTTCTAGTAATATCATTAAAAGCGAAAGCCGGTATCGTCTGCTTGAACGGGCGGAATGGGAAAGCATCTTTGTTGTGTAAAAACGAAAATATGCGTCAATAGTTATAAACTTCATTTGCGCTTATCGGCCTGCGTATCGTTAATGGAAAAACATACACATATTGCGTAATAGTTCTTGTGTCGTTATCACTTACTGTAGTATTTTTCAGTATTAACTTGTATATTTTTCAGCATATAGACACTGCAGATTCGTCATTGCGCACCAGTGATACGAGGGAAGATCTCCCAATCTGACTCTAGGCCAACGACTGCCTCATTTTGCCAACATGTCGTTCAACGACGAAGGTTGCCTCCTTCGCAGCGCGTAACAACAAACGAACCTTATATCGACGGGCACTACAACGCGCTCAGTATGATTTTTGTTTGCGATACTTTAAAATGCCGAGCATTAAACGCTACACACACATACACGACGAATACACAAAATAGCGTCCTGCTGCACGAATCGGGTTAGTCAACGATTGACCATTTCGACCGTAGGCCCGCCAAGTAAATCCTGTTCGATTAATACGAAGCATCAGCACGCGAAATAATAATGGGTTAATTAGCTCAATAAAACGTGATTCTGCGGAGTCGGGGGCTCTGGAGGGAGATAGAAGAAGAGGCACAATTTGCGTGACCATTAAAACAGGATTGTCGCTCCGTTGGCCTTAATATTTTATCTAAAGAATATGTTGCAGCCGGTTAGATACTATATATATCATTAGTACTTGCTTGTGAATCGTGGTTGTGTTATTTGCTTTTTGTTGCCCATAGCAAAGAATAACTAGGGAACTCCATATATAT